AGAACACTAGAATACCTCCTTAAAACCTTCCATAGTTTTTTATAAGGTGATTTTTTATCTCGATCCGCCTGTGAAAATATGTTCACATGTTGTGATCCTACTTGCATACAGATGACGTGACTGGCAAGGTACTTGTATGCTAATATTCATTTGACGCATCGTAATTTGCACGTCCATACATTTTCTGTGTGTGTGTGTGTTTGTGTGTGTGTGTGTATGTGTTTCTATATTGTACTCGGCTTTGAATATTTCCACCAATGCGAGTACGCGAGCGGATGTAGTGAAGACGAGTTAGAGCTAGAATACAGTGGAACAAGGCGGGAAAAAGGTAAAAGGCGTAAAAGTAGGGAAAATAGATAGGGAGAGAGAGAGGGAGATGGTAAAAGCTAATGTGCTTAAATCGTTCAACGCTGCTACGTGGTTCACGCTGACATTCTTCGCCATGTCATTCACTCCAAGAATGTCATTCATTATTCATCGATCGAGTGAGAATCTACTGCCCCCAAATGCCCTCGCTGAAAATTCAAATTCGCAGACAGCAGTACACTCTGCGACGACATAAAATTCTATATAAAAAAAAACCATACAATCTACGCTATATGACAGAATTTCTTCCTTTTATGAATGTACCATACATCATAGTTTACATAAGGAGGTTCTCTTCAACATCGCGGTGTAATTACTATATTTAAGAATTACGAAGCTGAATAAGAATAGAACGATGAATAAGAACACAAAAGAATAAAAAGATTTCGATTGTAGTAGTCAACATTAAATCCGCGATATTAATAAATTATTATTAATTTATTAATATTATTAATATTATTTATATTATTTATATTATTTATATTATTTATATTATTTATATTATTTATATTATTTATATTATTTATATTATTATTATTATTTATATAATATTAATCGCTATTAAGCGAACCCGTCATATTATTTGTTCGTATAAACTATCGCAAAGAAAAAAAATTAAGTTCGACTTTGAATTAATAATTATTTTTGAATTAAATAATTTTAAATTAGTTAATCTTGGAAATCTCACTTCCGAAATAGTAGGAAGAAATCGTTGCGTTCAATTATTTAAAATATAGCATGAATTTGATTCTAGAAAATGCGATTGGTTATTGATGACAGCACGGCGCACCGATAGCACAGCAGATAACAATATCAATCGGCAGAATTTTTCATTGAAAATTGATCACAGTTGCAATGATTAGAAAGTAAGGAGATTGTGAGTACTATCAAAAGACTGGAACACGTTGTGCCAACATTCTGCCGGCATTGATAAACGCAACTACCAACTGAAAGAAAATTACAATACACAGCAGTACATGCTATTAATCCCATTTGTTTTTTGATAAAACAACGGTAAAATTCGGGTTAAGGAGCACAATAAGTTCACAATCCATACTGTATTCTCTCATTTAAAAGGGCACAGGATCATTCAGATGCGAGTAATAACATTATTGATATTTGATGAAAATTCGTTCCACAAATAATGTAATGATTTACGTACTATTTCTTATTTCTTCTTTACCTTAAAAATGTAGTGTATTATTTCTTATTTCCAGTTTATAAAACATTGAAGAATTCTAAAGAATAAGATTGTTTCTAGCAAAATTGTGTTTCTAGATATTCGGTTTTAAAGTTTCATTTCATTAATAAAACCGCGATATCGATACAATTAATTTTTCGTCTTTTCTATGCAATTATCGCGATATAAGATTGCTAATTTATTGTCGCGTACATACAGTCAAGTCTATAGATTCTACAAGTGCCATAAATGGAGAAAAGACATTTTTCGAGAAAGTGTTCCTAAAACAGAATTGGTTGACCGAAATTTCAAAAATAAAGTTACAAACAGTATCGAATATTTTATTGCAAAGTAATAACAAAATATGTGTAAAGTAGATTTCAAAATTTTTTTCATGGTAGTGAAAGTGTAATTTTAAACTGCTCAACTAATTCCTGGATAGCTGGCATGGAATTTATGTTTTATCCATGGTACACTTTTTAGGTCAATGGGCCAAGCCAATTCTAACCCAGAGCCAAACCTTAATTCAAATAAGAAATACTTGAGATACCATTTCAAATAATGGACTAAAAAGATAGATTCTTCACAGGATGCTAATAAAATTTCATAAAGCAATGTATCACAATTTTATTAGTTAAATATTTGAAATTTATGCTCGAAATGTACACTTTGAAATATCTGTCCGTATAAAAAATTGCTAGTGGAACTAGAAACGTCGTAAAGCTTTAATAGCATTCTTCCGCCAAGAATGGTTGTTTGCGTTAATCACTCTATCGCGGTTATTTCATTAATCACATTTTCTTCATTTTTCATGTTCAAAGTTACGTAAAGGTTGTGGTATCAGAGGTTCTTGGATTAATTTTGACCTCAACTATTACTCCGCGATAATAAAAATATGTAATATGATATTTCTAAAAATACAACAAAAATTGTATATGTTTTAATTACATCGATATAAATTTTTTTTAGTATTATCTGAACACCAGTTGTCTTTTACGCTTAATTCAGAATTCAATCATTTGATGCTTATGAGTATTGTAGACTGATGAACTCTTTCTTATATCAGCTATAATATTATGAAATTAAAGATACAATGCGCCATTCAAAAAAGGCCTTGACTTTTTATCGAGAAAAGCAACTTTTGGCAATTTTAAATATTATCATTTGTAAATGATTTGATAGTGAAAATTGTAATGGTATAGTGTAAAGTCTTGTCGTTGATTGCATTTTGTTATTGATTCCATAGTTTTCGTAATAAATTGTTTATGTTCATCGTTCTATGACCTATGACAATGTCTATTATAGTTTCTTTGTATTACATTAAATATATGTTTATTATACTGCGTGAATTTTGACAGTTTTTACATTGTACAATTATTTAGGAATTTATTGTTGCTATGTTTAAAATATGATTAGACTGCGAATCTTTATGCAAAACAAAAATTGTCTGCATTAGTTACAAGAAACAGAAGTTAAATAAACATTTATTTCTTTTGTTAAAGCGTTAGTAAACTAAAAGTAATATAACAATATCCTTAAATTCTTCTGAAGCTTTCA